GTAAAAGAGCATAAGCTCTTCTTTACTTTGAAGTACTCATCTCTTGTTTTATTTGATATGCATGAAATTGGAGTAGTTGGGTCCAACGCCCAATAAGAAAACACACCTTAATGTGATTAAACGCGTAAGTAAAATCAATCACCATCCCTAGACCGTGATCCAACACTAGGCTCGTGTTGGATCGAATCAAAGGTTCATAGTCATCCTAAGGCCCTAAGGCAACTATATAGTCCATCAATGAATGCAAAGCTTATGTTAGTAGTACCATATACTCTTACTTTAAAAATCATTTTACAAGCATAGTGGGAGTATCATATACTACTAAATCAATCACATGGACCAATAGTTGTAATAGGACCAAATTGTTTTAATGAGATTAAAATGCATGCTTATATGTGATGAGACCTAAAAACCCTCAACTAAACCGCTATTAAGTTGACAGGCATGAGAGTGCTTTGAACACTCTTTCGTGGCCTTCCACCGTGGTAGGCTCCAATCGTTTGTGACTTATACACCGACTTCACCTTATCATGGGGGAGTACAAAGTATGTGCTTACACTCAGGAGGAGTTCTATACGCATACATGATGTTGTGAAGGTTAGCAACAAGAATGATCAACATTATATCACTGTGAGGTTGTTCTTAAACCTCTACCCAAACTTATATGGTGAGAATGACTTAACTAAGTGCAATGAAGCCAACATCATATTATTGTGAGGCATCATACTCTAGAGGCCAAATAAGATGGGTACTTACATGAGATGTAAATGAGTAAGCATACTCTCTCATTATTATTTATGCTAGCCAACTCTTATCATTGTGAGGTGGGCTTGGTAATAGTGAGCCTCTCATACCCTACTAAGAGTTTCCTCCAAAACTCTTGAATTCCAATGAGGGATATGGAATTTCCCAAAAATAGTGGGTGGTGCTATTTGATTTAAAGACCCAGATCAAATAGCTTAAAATCAATCAATTTATATTCATTATGTATTTATTTACCGATATATTTGCAAACACTATCCAAAACTTGACAAAGAAAAAGCCGAAGGCTTTAGTTTCCAGACTTGGTACCACAATCCCATAGATTGATTGTCTTGAATGGATTGTATATGTACCAAAGTAGTCTCATCCTCACAATCTTCCTATTGATAATGTATCATTGGAAGAACATGTTAGATAAGTTTATCGTAAAAAGGACAACACAAACAACAAATGCTTATTCCTTTGTTGTATGAACAAAGGAACTTGAGAAGATTAGCACAAAGACAAGGACACTTTTAGTGTCATAATTCTTCCATTACAAATTGTTGTATGAAGAAATAAGAGTTTCTTTGAACAACCCTTAGTTAACACAAACACTAGTGCTTGTTTCTTTGTTAAATGAACAAGGAACTTGAGAAGTAAGCACAAAGGCATGGACACTTTATGTGCCATGATTCTTCACTTACAAATTGTTGTATGAAGAAGTGAGAGTTGCCTAAAGTTTGTAATCATATTTAGAATGTAATGATTGATTGACAAGAATAGTCCATCAACATGGACTTATGATGATTTTAAATCATTGAGTGTTGAAGTGTTGAACCACTTCAGGAGATAGAAACAAGGCAAAGACTTCACCTTTGAGTCCCTATCCAAATGGTTTAGTAAGTTTATTGTAAATTATATAGTTGTTTGATGTGTATAACACAATTGAAATAAGTTTCAAGAGAGATAGTGGAAGTTTAAGGGACCATGACTATTGTAGTCAATGGAGAAGTCAAATGAAGAAGGGGAAATAACTCCAAGGGAATAAACTTTCTTTATGAAAGGATGGACATTGGAATGGGTATTTGCAAGAAATGTCTTGCAAGAGTCAAGAACACACCTTTCGAAGGTGTTGTAAATTGTTCTTGAATAGTTCAACACAGTTGGTTCTTCCACTTGAATGCTTGATTCTGTATTAGTAACTATGTTTCACAATCGTTGTAAAAGTGTGGCTAATAAGAAGTAGAAGATTAATGAGAGAAGAGAAGGTACTTCACATTCAGAACATGAATAAAATATAGATCTCTGCGAAAGCAGATAGTACTTACTTCCTCATATGAACTACCAAAGAAATTGGAAAAACAAAGATTGTCTTTACATTCCAATTTGAATAAGGAACTTAATTCTGTCACTATAATTTTAAGAGATGGATGAATGTTTTGTTTGACAAAACATTGTTCTTTATTAATGAATGATTGGATTATTGTAATCTGATTGATTGTCTCTATAGTAGAGATGATGTGGTAGTGTTAGCTGTTTAGAATATAATGATGCTTAAAACCTAAAAGGTTGCAAGGTAGTGACTAATCCCACTGAGTTGTGACACCTCTAAAACATAAATCACAAGTTGGTCATAGATGGATGCTGTGGATCGTTAGATCCGAATCCAATGCCTTCTTGTTAAAATCGTATAGAGGTGAAATGTCCGAATCTTTATTCTTTTGAAAAGAAGAACGGATCTCAAAGTTGTTGAGGTTAATTCACTTAGATGTTAGTAGCACTTGTCCACAACATAATACCACTCATGTTGTATAACATTCACTGAAGATCAATCTCGGTTGAACTATCATTTATTTTGAATAAACACAAGTCTGAATACTTTGCAAAATGTTTCAAAGAATTCAAGAATGTAAGTTGATGAGTAAGACGTCTTAAGTATTTACCTCCTTAGATTTGATCCAAGGAAAAATAACACTTTAGAAGAGTTTCCTTGAAAGATATCAAGGAAAGTAGCATCATAAGATAATGGATTTCTCCATTGGGAGAATGAACTCTAGTGTGTAAGAACACGTCGCTCAGATGTAACATCTCTAGCATGCTCCCAATCCTTATAAAGAAAGCACCAACGGTTTTTCCAAGTGCAATACGCCTTTTTTTTAACCAAAGACAATACACTCTCTCTTGCTTTAACACGCACACTCAGCATAGCCAGTGCATGACTTCACTTGGTGCATCTTATAGCAGTAGCACCACTGATGGAAGGAAGGCTCAGCTAATCCACACTCCATCAAAATTATATAAAACCCGATCAAGGTATCCCAAAAACTAGGATTGAGTTGTCTAGGCACATATCCAATGAGAGATAACTTCTTAATTGACCCTTAACGTCATTATTATCTGGGTGTAGAATATGACGTGACCTTTAGGCGGCTCAATAAGTAATTTTTCATCATGCACCAAGTGCATTCCTACACTACTGGGTATCCTACACTACCAAGTGCATTCCGCTGTGAACTCAGAGCGAAAGATGGGTATGGCATCAAGAGCAACGTCCTCACCCATCGACATGTAGAAGGTAGAACCAATATTGGTTAAGGTTACAATCCTAGACCTACATCAGAAGCTTTGGGAGAAAGGAGTGGAATGCATGCTTCATGATCGTGAAGGTCATCCAACATTTCCTCTTCACAAGACTCTAACAAAGACCCTGAAGACTCTAACATTGCTGGCTCAAACCTAGAGCTAGAACTAGGGGAGCCTTCATCACTAGGACCTCTAGGCTCTAACATCTACAACAACATAAACAAACTCTATCACTATGTGAAGGATCAAAGCCTAAAGGTTCACTTACAAACTCTATCATCAGTTCATCATGTTCTTAGCCAAATGCATAGAAACTCAAACAATTCAACTAGAATGAAAGCATTTGATCCAATCAAGAAGGTTACCAACCTGAAGATGGTGTCAAGCATTGTCAGAATCCTTCTCAACTAGAGAGCACTCTATCTTCAAAAAATCACTACAAAATGAACAAATGAAAGCAATGTAAGAAGTGGAAACTCATCCTTCTTATATAGTTCAACATGGGCGAAGAAATTCAAACTCAACCCATGAGAAAGCCCTACATATCAAGTCGTGGAACTTCCACACAAGCTAGGAAAATTCAAAATTCAAAATTCCAAAAAAAAAAAACATTAATTACTTATTAATAATTATTTCGATAATTATTAATCAATTAATTAATTGTTAAATACTAATTAATTAGTTATTAATCAATTAATAATCATTAATTAATTTCAAACATGAGTAGGTCAACAAAAGCTTCAACACATAGGATGCAACTACAACATGTAAACAACTTCACACACTCTTGATCAAGACAATGTGAAGGAAAATCAATTTATAGTGCCCAACAAAAGCTTCAACATAGGATGCAACTACAACATGTAAAAAGCTCCACATACTCTCGATCAAGATAGTGTGAAGCAAAATCAATTTGTGGTGCCCGACGATTAGCTTCATCTAGTCAAGCTATGTGCCTAACTAAAATGCTTCACCTACAAGGCTTCAACCTAAAAGCTTCACTTACAAAGCTTCAACCAAAAAGCTTCACCTACAAAGCTTCAACCTAAAAGCTTCACTTACAAAGCTTCAACCAAAATGTTTCACCTACAAAGTTTCAACCTAAAACATTCACCTACAAAGGTTCAACCAAAAAGCTTCACCTACAAAGCTTCACTTACAAAGCTTCAACCAAAAAACTTCAACTACAAAACTTCACCTACAAAACTTCAACCAAAAAGCTTCATCTACAAAGCTTTAACAAAAAAGCTTCAACACTACAACATGTAAAAAGCTTCACACACTCTTGAACAAGATAGTGTGAACCAAAATCAATTTTTGGTATCCTAGGAATAGCTTCAAATCTGCAAGCTATGTGCCCAAATAAAAACCTACAATCTACAATCAATAAACCTACACCCATTAAACCACAACCATAAACCTTTACCTATTAAACTATTTTCCAAGCACAAACCTTTGCTACAATTATTAAAAATAAAAATTCGCAAAAACCCAACATTTTAGCAATCTGTGCAACCACAACCATATGAACAAAAAACTTTAAACATAAACTTTCTTATCATTTCTCTCCATTCACGAGGTCCCTGTTACATGTTATATAATTATTTGTATGCAACTCAAGTATATTATAAACAAAAACACAATTAATTTCAAGTATAATACAAGCTTGGAAGATGTACTCCTCCTCATACAAATTTACAACAAATACAATCAGGAAGCTTGAGCAGGTTTCCCAAAGTGCTTGTCTTTCATCCTCTATAATTCCGTATGCTTCTTCACATCAGCTCTGCAAGTTGAGATAATTTCTGTATGAATTTATTCATAATTTTATTTTATATTTATAACCAGTGCTGCATTGTTGCGGGGGCACAGAGAGACACTTGAGCAGGTATTTATTTTCTTTTACTTGCAAGTTTATAAGTTCAAAGAGTGTTATGGTACTCTCTTTGGCCTTGAAAATGTGTTCATTTTGTGTATAGTATTTTAAAGAAGTTTTGCTGTTATTGGACCACTGGTTCAACTTAATTCCCATTTCTTCACTTATAAGATTTGTTTTTGAGTAGTATACTTTCCAAGTGTTGTGAAATATACATATATATGCAACAGGGTTTATGCTTATCGTCACAAGTTGGCCTTATTATGCAGGGAGAAAGGAGTTTTAATAGATTTGGAGGGTGGCTGGGAAAGAACTCAGCATTAGGGAAAAATCTTAGGCTCTTGGAAGATTTGCATGTCCATCTTCTTACTTCTCGTGAATCTAGTTCGGGGAGGTAGTTTCTATTCTATGTTTGAACTTTTAGTCACTAACTGAATGCATTTGAATTTTGCAATGGCTTATGCGAACATATGGCCTCGTCTGGTGTGAAGGATTGATCTGAATTTGGTGTCAATGATTAAAAATTTTTCCAAGTTGAAGGTACAAGGTGGACCGGTCATGATGGAAACATAACCTTGTCTATCCTTTCCTTCATCACGATTCCAGCTTCTGCCTAAACTTGGACAAACTGTGGAAGTTACATACGTTTCTTCATTCAGCATACATTGAATATAGTGACTTCTCCAATCGAATCCTAGACACCAAACAAAGCCATAATGCCGCAGTCATTGACTTATATAAGGATCGGAAATAATATACAACCCATGGTGTTCAATTGTTATTATGGGTAAATGGATCCCTAGGGCTTTAGATCCATCAGGAAAGTTGTATACTTATATTTTCTTGTGCATACATGGCCATGGTATCCTTGGGAAGGAAATTTCAACTTCTATGTTTTTGGAGTTTAATTGTTATTTATATTTTCCTTCTGTTTTTAGTCCTACTATGCATTTTGACTTGAAAACTTTGGAAATTTCCAATTGTTGGATTATTTTCAATATTATTTTGGACTTCTGAAATTTTATCACGTAGTGACCAAAAAGAAATAAAAGGTCTGTCATTTCAAGGTTTTAATTAGTGAATGTGTCTGTTCAAGACCACTCTCTCTCCCTCCCTCTCTCTCTCTCTCTACCACTCTGTTTTTATTTTATTTGTCTTATTTTGTGTCCCTTGGAAGCCTCTTAATTTCTCGTTTGTAAATTGTTTAGGGAAACACTGCAAGTTGAATACCTTTCTCTTCTTCTGAAGCGCTTGGCCGTGCCGCTCCACGAACTGCCTAAGGTTGGGAATAATCTGTAGTTGTATATGAAGATCTAATATTAATTGCAAAATATGTAAAACAGTTGGGTTGATGATCAGTTGTAAATCCAACTTTCTTTGTTAAAAATATCAGGATGAAGCTGTGCAGGAAGTTGTGGAGTTCATGAATGCTTACTCCATTGGTCAGGATGACTTCGATACTATTGTGGAGTTATCCAAATATCAGGTAACCCTTGGCGCAGGCTTGGTTGTTGCTATAATGCTCCAAATTTCCAAGTTTTCTCATCAATAAGCTATGTATCAGGGGCACCCAAATCCGCTAGATGGCATACTACCTGCTGTAAAAGCTGCTTTGACAAACGCATACAAAGAAGGAAGCAAAACAAGGATGGTACGAGCTGCAGATTTGTTACTATTGCTGCAATGAAAAAGGCCCCTAAGAAGTGGATTGCTGCCCTTTTAGAACCATCTGATGATGTAACTGGAGAGAACAATGACGATACATAGGTTCAGAGTGAAGATGAAAATTCGTCAGATGCAGAGTACTTGTTTAAGTTTTCTGTCATCATTTTGCTGGTCCTTTTGTCGTTTATACATTGTTCATTTTGCCAGGACTACTTTAGTTTTAGGCAATTGTTCACAATGATAAGTGGCCATTTTGTTCTGCGGCGTATTTTGTGAAATGGTGTTGCCTTAAGATGTTTCTGGAACAGAAAGCTCTATCATTATTATGTTGTAGAATAAAAATGGCGTATGCTAACATGTTGTATTTCATGAGAAATAGAGAGCATGTTCCATGTTATCTGGGATTCTGAAATTGCAGAAAGGAAATGAAGGAAACATGTCTAGAAATGTTCTTTCGTGACCAGTTGATATATTATTGCCTCCGAATTAAACCTTGACATGAAGGAGCATTTCTTTCGTGACCAGTTGAAATAGTGTTCTAGGATTTTGCTCCTTGTTTCTTGTCAAGAAATTTGACACCACCAGAATGGTTTGTTTTAGGATTTACTGTAATTCTCTTATTATATTACTGGCAGAAACTTACTCGGCAATGGATCGTAATTACGTTTCTAGGGTTGTAAATGGAACTAAAAATTAAGCAAGCTAGATTGCTTCTGGATTGTAACTATTCGGTTGACTGTCCAACTCATTGGAGCTCACTTAGTGATTGTTCTTTTCACAATGTGTCAGAAGGCACTGCAGCTGGTGAGAAGCTGCAAAAGGATCTGCAAAGTTTGAACACAAAAGGTAACTGGTGGTATCCTACATGATGAGCCTGACTTCGAAAGCTCGCATGTTCAGGCTATTTGTATTTAAATTTATGTTATTCCTGAATGCATGATTTGTGTGTTCCTCATATTTTGTAGGACTGCAAGTACAATTTGATTTGAAGGGTGCGCCAAATACAAGTGCAAAGAAGACACCAGCTGGAAAAGGTAGAGGTGGTTCCTCTGCTGCCGTGGAGAAAAAAGGTGGCCGAGGTTCAGGAGCTGGTGCCAAGAGAAAGAGTGAAGGGAGATGAAAGAAGAGATGGAACTTCTTGCTATGGTTTTGGCAGGTTTTATAAGCGGATGTAAAGAGATTTTTGCTCTGTACATAAATATTTTTGGTAGGTGAGTGAGGGATGGTAGGATCTCCGGTTTTAGTTTTAGTTTACAAGGTGGTGTTGATAGTAACTCCCAGATTTATTGTTTTGACTGCGGTAGCATCTTTCAGAAATCTGGTAGACACGGGCCAGTCAACTTGACTAGAGCAACGTATTCCTCTTCATGCAAGTTCGAATTGCTCTATATCTAGTTTAGTTTAGTTTTAGATTAAATTAGAATATTGCTCAAATAACCCTTTCTTGTCAGAAATGTGAAATGCCAAATAATTGGGGCAATGGACCAAAGAATCCACCACGCCACAAGATTACATGGAAATTGATCTTTGCAAAATTATTCATTTTTTCTTCAGCTCACATAAACTGTATGGATAAAAGATAAAAGTTGCTTGCATAATACTTGTGGCTCAATTAATTAATGGCATTCATTATTGCACGTAATGTCTCGAGTTTGATTTCACAAAAATCTTACGTGCATGGTAGAAAATGCATGCATACATAATTAAAATATGCATTTATATAATTAATGGGGTGTGATATTCACACACTTCATTTTACTTTTCACACGTCCTTCTAATTATCGGCCGTTGGATCGGATGAATTGAAGAAAATCAACGGATAGAAATTAACAAGGGGTGTGTAAGAAGTAAAATGGGGTATGTGGATAGCACACTCCTAATTAATACCGTACAAGAATATTACAAGAGCTCAAGGATATGGGATTGGTTATAGTACTTGTATTATCACCATTTGGTCTAACTATTGAGATTTGGCTACAATACTTTCAAGTACTTATTACTTATTCGGTCACATAATATCAAATGAGCAAATTACGTAGACCTCAAATCTTCTGCACCCAAATCTCTTGTGGCCCGTCTCTTATTCCATACCTTTACAACTGTCCCATTTTAACTCCCATGGCACTAAGTAGGGGATGCACTTTCACTCCATAGCATTACAAACCTAACTAATACAACAAATTAAACAAATCAAATTGCAACGTCAAACGATTGAGGACCCCAAAACAGATGTAGGCTGGGGGATCCAATGCACACCAAACAAAAAGCTTGTCATATGTTGATGAGAAGGAATCCACCATTATTTAACTGCATTTGGAAACTAAATATAATAACATTATCCACCATTATCTAGCTAGTTAGTGCCAATATGTATTGGCAAATGCCATAAAAGAGAAGACAAAAATTATAAATAAAATAAAATAAAATAAATCATAAAAGAGAAGATAAAACTAAGTTTCTTGCTGTGTTAGGTTAAATGTCATAAAAGAGAAGATAAAAATTATAAATAAAATAAAATAAATCATTATAATACATTATACTTTTTTTAATTATAACCTTTTAGTCATTTAACATAATCAGAGCAATTTTATATAAAAGTTTACTGAATACTTGCACACTACTTAAAAAAAAAAAAATTATCAAATACTCAATTGCTTTATTTTGCAGTTGTTTATTTTCATAGTATAGCAAAAGCTTTTTTTTTTTAAAAAAACAAAAAGTACAACAATACCAAACTAACCCTTCGAAGCTCCTGAACTGCTATATTAAAGTACAGATTTTTTTTTTTTGGTCGAAAAAGCAAGTAATTTCATTAAATTAGAAAATAAAAAAACCCAAAATGCTCAGTCCACAAAGGTCAACCGCCACCGACGCCATCACCTCACTAGCGACCGCAACAATAATCGCCCGAAGAAAACCAACTTTGCGTTGGATTCGATGAAGGTATCAGCATTACAAAGCAAATCAACCTGCAACAAAGAAACACCCTAACCAAATTTCACCATCAAAACCGCCACACCAAAGAAGAGCCAACAGATTTGAACCACTAACAAGCCCTTGCAAGTAGAACCAAAAACCAAAATAAAAGGGAAAGAAATGGGGCTAAGGGGGCAATCTAAAAAACCTTCGTTTTGGGCAAAGCCACAACACGCTTGGCCCCAAACTTTCAACATGCCGGTTAGGTGCAGAGCCGTGAACGGAGTGCTTAGATCTGCGGACCAAATAGGTATTTTGCTCTAGGCTTTGAGTAGAGGTTGTGGAAGGATGGCAAGGGAGAAAAAGGTACAAATGAACAAGATGGAAAATGATGGGTGTTCGGGGTTGAAGGAGGGGGGCTGTAGGTGAAGGAAATTATTTGAGAAACTAAGTTCATTAAGCTACATATTATGCATCTAACAATTAAATGGTTGAAGCATGCTTGTATGCACTTTAAAACAAAACTTAAACCATTAAACTCAAAGCTTAGTAGTGGTGGTGAATCAAGATTCAACTCTAAACACAAAGAGAGTTGAGAAACTTTATACCTTTGAAGCACCTTTTTACTTAGCAGAGGTTAATCACCCATGAGAGGCTTCATTCCTTTGTCTCCATGAATGTGGATGGAGGAACTTTGCTTTTTGGCTCCATGTCATCTTGGATTTGGATAAGGAATGGATTCTTCAAAAGTCTTGTGGACCAAAATAATTTTAGGTCCTGAAACCCAACACTAACTTAAGGCCTAATACGAACCTTTTCGTATGAATTAATTAATATATTAATTAATTCTTACGTATACAATTAAACTTTTTAATTGTCCTTACTCATCTTTGTTATGTCGTTCAATTATTACCTTACATGGTGTGTTATTGATTAGGTTCCTTTTAGTGAAGTAGTGGGCGATTAGAACTCTTACTAATCAATTGTGAATTGAAACTTACTTTCGATTCTGCCTTTAGTATTATACATCTTCAGGGCTTTCACAAGCCATGAGTGACACCTAGCAGTATGTTATGACTATCCAAACTAATCAGAAGAGGTTTGGATAACCTATTCAGTTTGGTATTACAAATGCGATATTGTCTTTCTCTAATTCAATACTCTTGATCAAATTGTTTGCTTTGATAGTTTATTCATGTCTATTATCTGATGTGATACTCTTTTCTATATGATTTTCTTGAATGTGATTTGGAACAATTTCCTAAATCTCATTCATACTCTGGTTAGAGATTCTTAATCATATAACAGAGTATTCTCCCTTAACGGATTGAAGGTTAGAGATCCCTTGTTGCACATTCACGCTAAGTAGATCATCCCCAACTATGTCGTGGACATCCTTAAATGGAATGCCTTTAATACAGTCATAGACTAAAGACCTTACCATAAAATAACTACGATGTCTCATGTCAAATGACTACTTTGCAACCATGAGTTCTCATGTGACAGAGTATGAGAACTCCTCGTTAATCGTGTTCAATGGACTCATTCTCTATTGAGCACCTACATACTTGTCTTGGTGTCAATCACACCAATGACTTGAGAACCACTCTCATGGGAAGAAAACATAACATGTACTGATCTATGCAGATTGTCAATGCCTAATTGACAATCCTATGATCAGGAACGTTTAGGATATGTGTATGAAAGAGAATGGTCTCATGAATCTAACTTCTTTAAACCACATTCTCCTAATTACATATTCATTGGACTTATCATTTATGCATATAACATTTAATGAGATGGCTTTAACAACAATCTTTGACCTTATATTAAATTAGTTTAGTTTAACATGTGAAATGTTCGTAAAGTATCATCTTACGATTGGCTTTAGGCATATTTTCAACAGTAGGGTGGGGATTGGGTTTGTCATGACGCACAAAATGGTGATAAACACTGGGAAATGACAACAAACATAGGAAAATAGCAAAGAACAAGAAAACTCCAAGCAAAGTTGATAGAAAAAGTTGTGACTTCTTAAATCGACAACCATGGGCATCGAAAGAGAAGTGCACAAGGATAACTAATAAAAAGGAAAGAGGAGAGAGGGTAAAAAAAAAAAAAAAAAAAAAAAGGTGTTGTCGCTGGCCCCCAACCCAAGGAAGGAGTCGACGGCGCTGAGGTTGGATTTTGAGATTGGCTATGTGCAAGAAAGGAGAAAGAGG